ATCAATGGAAGCAAAGGTTGTCCCTCGAAAGTACGAGTAGAAGTATACTCTATTTCACCAAGAAAGATCCTTGAAGCTTGAACTGACAGAAGTAAAGGCTATTCTTCGGAAGTTGAAGTGGGAACACACACTTTGCTTCAATAAGAAAGTCCTTCGAAGCTTACATTGATGGAAGTAAGGGCTATTCTTCAGAAGTCCGAGTGGGAGCACACACTTTACTTCAGCAAGAAAGACCCTCAAAGCTTGCATTGATGGAAGCCATGGCTGCTCTTCGGAGGTCCGAATGGAAGTACACGTCTATTGTGTCAAGAAAACTCCCTTCAGGTTGGTAACTGAGTCTACTATTCCTCTTTCTTCTTTGAGGGGCAACAAAAAATTGAAAACTATTTCAAGCAACATAACATAATGAAGATATACAATGTAGAGAAAATAACTTCTAATGGAGATACATAATATGGAGGAAATAAATTTCTTCATGACATAAGAAAGATAGAACTTCTTGGACAATGCAGTAAATGCAAACTGTAAATGTCATAGATAGACTTCTTCCACGGAATATTGAAATTTGCCCCTAGAGTTACAAGATCATTTGGAAAGCTTTCACCAGCTGCTCGGGTTGTGGCCATCATGCACCATCATAGCCATGTCTTTGGATCTTTCTGTACAGACTGATATCTCCATCCCCGCAAGACTTTTCATGGATCTGTTGTAGTCGGAAACTTGCTTCTTGTTGGCCAACACACCGGGCTAGGAATCCGGTACCTCCTCGGAAATAAAGTTCACCTTGAATAATTATGAATTGGGCAAGCTTGGCCATAGTCAATTTTCCAACTTTGCTTCTGAGTTGTTCGAGGACTTCTCCTCTCTAGTCTTCCGGAAGGCCTTTGTCTTTGGGTATTATCGAAGGCTCTGTTCTCTTCTTGATAATAATTGTCACCTCCTCCTCCGGAATATCAACTCTTGCCCCTAATGTTGCGAGGGCATCTGAAAACTTGTTGTCGAAGTGAGGCACATGCTCTATTTCAACCTTCTGAAATTTGTCAAGAAGCCTTTGGACTGTTGTTCGATATGTGGCCAAGGTAGGCTCCTTTAAGATGAACTATCCTGAAACTTGCTTCATTATCAGCTTTGAGTCCCCCCGAATCTGAATCTTCTTGATACTGTGCTTCTCAGCTGCTATCAAGCCTAAAATAAGAGCCTCATACTCGGCTTCATTATTCGAACAATGGAAATCCAGTTTATAAGACAAATATAACTTTTCCCCACTTTTGCTTGTAAGGACTATCCCGGTTCCTCCTTTACCTCCGGCTGCTGCTCCGTCAAAGCTCAATGTCCAGAAGTTTTCCTCGGAAGCCATAGCTGCATGCACCTCTCCTCTTAATTCTTCATTCACTGGTTCATAGTCACCACTTGGAAATTGAGAAAGGAGATCAGCTAAGGCTTGGCTTTTGATTGCCTTGGAAGCTACACATGTGATCTCGAATTCACCCAGTGCTAATTTCCCTTCTCCATTATCAACCTTAAGAGTGAAAGTAGGAGATCCATGGGAGAGCCTTGCCATTATTCTCTCTCTAACTATTTTGCCTTCTTCTTCACCCAATCTCTTATCTTCATCATCTCCTTTACAGTTGTGTTCTTAAGTTGAGACTATTGAAGAATCTAAGCCTTTTATCATCTTCTAGAGAATTCAAAATTGTTCTTCAAGGATCTTCGAAGATCTTTCGAATTTTCCAACTCCTTTCTTGAACCCTCTCCTACATTTTGGCGACTCCGCTGGGGAGTCGGATTGGTTAATGGTCTCAACGAGATCTGGAATCCACACAACTCCAACAAGGATGGCGGGAGAAGATGAAGTTCACCAACAAGGATCCTTTAATGGTGGTGATGACAGAACCATGGCTCCAGATCAACCACTTTTGCTTGAGGCCATTCAAGGCCTTCAAAATACTCAGCAGGAGATTATTACCACTCTTCAGAATCTCACTCACACCATGCTAGTAATGAGTTCTAATTTTTCACCGGTGCCAAACGGAAATCAAACGGATGGTGGAGTTATTTCCGCTGGAGCGCAAAATCAAATCCAATGAGAAGTAGGCCCCAATCAGCCTATGGCTCATGGTAACACGGCCACAGTAACACATGCTCAAACCGCAGTAGGCGGCAGCAGTTTGCCCATGCCCGGGCTCCATGGCGTACCAATCCAAGATCCAATGGTGACTAGGGGAGGTTCGGGTGTAATGAATGGCGCTCCGGCGACTGTTGGTGTCCAGGAAAACATGAGGAGCATGATGGCGCAACAGGGAGCTCTGCCTGTACCTAATCTTGTTACGCCACCAGTAAATGTTACCCAAGCACCAAACGGGCCTTCTTTGGTGCCAACACCAAATTTGCAAGCACAACCCAGTATAGCGGCGCCGTGCGGTGGACTTTACGGGCCTCAATTCAATGTCCCATCACCAACTGGCTTGTCTATAGGCGCTGATGGCCAGTATCGTCAAATGTCCTCACCAATGATGAATTCGCAGCACCAGAATGGCCAAGTCGCCCCTAGCTCAGTCTTTGGGTCCATAAACCAAGTTCCGAGAATACCACTATCAAACTCTCTGCCTCAACAGTTTCTCACTCTCGCCGATGTGCAGGCCATGTTCGATCTCGAACGGGGCAAGAGGACCTTATCCTCTTTGCCTGATCCAGACGTGAAGCCGTCTTACCCCATTGAGATGCTGAGCTATCCATACCCTGAGGGGCATACAGTGCCGAAGTTCATCAAGTTCGACGGCAAACAAGGAAATGCCCGAGAACATGTTGTGCGATTCATCGAGACTCTAGGTATTCATGGTTCAAACCACGTCCTCCGACTGAGAGAATTCTCTAAGTCCCTCACCGACCGACCATATAGTTGGTATGTTAATTTGGCCCCAAACTCTGTCCGAAGTTGGGAGGAAATGGTTAACAAATTCCAACTCCAATTTCTTTCAAGTGGCGAGAGAGGTGACCACACTTACATTGTGTAAAGAAAGAGCAAGAAAGTGAAGACATCCTTGACTACGTCAAAAGGTTTCAGACAAGGCCGTGGATTGCATGAAGCAGTGAGGAGAGTTTATTGGTTCAAATCTGTCTTAGAAGGGGCATTGAGCAGGTACAAAATGTTTCTAGTTAACCACACTCCCACCTTCTCGGCATTAATAGAAGCAGCTCGGAACATTAGCATTCCTCAGCTCAGGAGTCCGGATTTAAGGCCAGTTACAACAATCTTGTTACGCCACCAGTAAATGTTACCAGCCCAAGCGGCCTCCCTTTGGTGCCAAACAAATTTGGCAAGCACAACCCGTAAGCGGCGCCGTGCGGTGGACTTATGGGCCTCAATTCAATTCCCATCACCAACTGCTTGTTCTATAGGCGCTGATGGCCAGTATCGTCAAATGTCCTCACCAATGATGAATTCGCAGCACCAGAATGGCCAAGTCGCCCCTAGCTCAGTCTTTGGGTCCATAAACCAAGTTCCAAGAATACCACTATCAAACTCTCTGCCTCAACAGTTTCTCACTCTCGCCGATGTGCAGGCCATGTTCGATCTCGAACGGGGCAAAAGGACCTTATCCTCTTTGCCTGATCCAGATGTGAAGTCGTCTTACCCCATTGAGATGCTGAGCTATCCATACCCTGAGGGGTATACAGTGCCGAAATTCATCAAGTTCGATGGCAAACAAGGAAATGCTCGAGAAAATGTTGTGCGATTCATTGAGACTCTAGGTATTCATGGTTCAAACCACGTCCTCCGGCTGAGAGAATTCTCTAAGTCCCTCACCGACTGAGCATATAGTTGGTATGTTAATTTGGCCCCAAACTCTGTCCAAAGTTGGGAGGAAATGGTCAACAAATTCCACTCTAAGTTCTTTCAAGTGGCGGAGAAGGTGACCACACTTACATTGTGTAAAGAAAAGCAGCAAGAAAGTGAAGACATCCTTGACTACGTCAAAAGGTTTCAATACAAGGCCGTGGATTGCCATGAAGCAGTGGAGGAGAGTTATTTGGTTCAAATCTGTTTAGAAGGGGCATTGAGCAGGTACAAAATGTTTCTAGTTAATCACAAACTGCCCACCTTCTCGGCATTAATAGAAGCAGCTCGGAACATTAGCATTCCTCAAGCTCAGGAGTCTGGATTTAAGGCCAGTTACAAGACTAGCTTCAAATCATCTCGTGGACCTATGGTTGCTGCTGCCTCTGCTCCAGATACCTGAAAGTCACAAGGAGGAGATCATAGAGGCCAAAAGAGAAAGCAATATAATGGTGAAAAGGGGAATGTTTCTTATCCATGTACAATCGAGGAAGTGAAAGTTCTAGTTAAGGAATGGGTGGCTGACGGAGAGCTAAAATTGCCTTATGTTGAAGAAATGCCATCAAAAAAGGACCGTGAGAGCCCTGAATTCTGTGTCTACCATCGTACATTGAAACATCCAACAGAGAAGTGTTGGACTCTCAGGAAAATCTTCAGAGGTAAAGTCAAGGCAGACGAATTGAGGTTCAAAAAGCAAGGGACTCAAGACATCCGAGAACAACCATATCCTCAACACCGAGACAAGGGCAAGAATGTTGCTATGATAGCTTATAAAGGCCCGATGATCGAGGCTATCGTCAATCTTGATGACGATGATTGTTATCTGGACGACATCCTCGAGCCAGAGGATGAGCAAGTTTACTATGGAAGTGCTCTCGATCCAGAGGGCAGAACATTTATGACTGATGGCGAAGATCCCTTTGCTCCAAAACAAGGAGAGGAGTACTATGGAAGAGGAGGACACCATGTTTATGTGGCATCTTATTTTGAAGAGACCGAGGAGATGGTTAACTACGAGCCTCCAAGAATGGAAAAAGATCCGGATCACTATGCCAAAACCTTGCAAGACTGTGTAAAGTTCAAGTAATTATTCGACTAGCTTGGACTTTCCAGGGAGGCAAGAACAGAAATTACTAAGTCTATCATTAATATAGCCGAGGCACACCATGAGAAATGCATGTCGACTGAGGGGTCTATCTCGAGGAAGGCAAAAGAGCAATCTAGTGCAATTACTTTCTCCGAGGCTGATCGGAAGTATCCTTTTTCTCACAATCGCTCGCTTTATGTGACTGCTTTTATTAACGGGGTTGAGTTCAAAAGGGCCTTTCTAGATAGTGGAGCCTCTATCAACATTATGACTCGCGCTACTCTAGAAAAGGCTGGAATCTCCGAAGAACGCATTGTGAAGCAGCCGATAGTCATCACTGGCTTCGGTGGAGAAAGGAGAGTTACTATCAGATGTGTAACAGTTGATTTAGCCATCGGAGAGATTCGCTCGGCCACCAAGTTCCATATTATCGATTCTGAGGCAAATTATCACATCATTCTAGGGAGGACCTGGATGCATAGATATGGGGCTGTACCATCAAGTTATCATCAGTGTGTTAAGGCTAAATGGAGAAAGAAGACGGTGACAATTCAAGCTACAGAAAGGCCTTTCGAGATCAGTTATCATCAGTGTGTTAAGGCTAAATGGGGAAAGAAGACGGTGACAATTCAGGCTACAGAAAGGCCGTTCGAGATCCATGAAGCTCATTATTCTGATGCCATCTACTTCACCGAACTGGCTGTCGAAGAAGTTCCCACCACCTCTAAGCCTCGAGGGGTCAAAATTCCTCGTTGGGAGGGTATCAAAGATGACAAGGAGCCGATGGCAGAGTCAAGTAAGCGGGCGATGTCTAGACCAGAAAGTCCGCCTATTCCTCGGAAGGTGATGAAAGTTCGAGAAGGAGGCAAGATGGTGTACTATTTATGAAGGTGCGGGGAGTCGGTTTCTTCAGTCACCGACTCCGAGTCAAAAGAAGAGCCTCCTGACAATGATATAGTAATAAAGCCTGAAGTGGCTCCAGAATGTATGCAAGATGGGCCGAAGCCTCAGCCCGAACAACTTATTGAAATAGATCTGAGTGATGGACAAGATGCACCGAGGCCGATGTTTGTAAGTTCGAGCCTTAGTCCAGAGAAGCGGGAACTGTTGTTAAAGTTGATAAGCCGATACTCAGATGTGTTTTTTTGGTCATATAAGCAAATGCCCGGACTAGATCCTGACCTAGTCTCCCACTATCTTGATGTGTTCCCAAACTCCAAGCCAATTAAGCAAGTTGCTCGAAAATATCATCCGGATCTCGAAGAGAAGATTAAGAAGGAGATTGAAAAACTTCAATAGGCTGGTTTCATCCGGCCAATACAATACCCCACGTGGTTAGCAAACATCGTGCCAGTAAAGAAGAAGAATGGCCAAATCAGAGTATGTGTAGACTTTCGAGATTTGAACAAATCTTGCCCGAAGGATGAATTCCCTCTTCCTCACATCGACACCCTCGTGGATACTACCTCGGGACACCAGATGTTCTCATTCATGGATGGATTCAGTGGATACAATCAGATTAAAATGGCTGAAGAGGACGCAGAAAAGACCGCTTTTAGAACACCTCTCGGAAACTTCTTCTATACAGTCATGCCTTTCGGACTCAAGAATGCCGGTGCAACTTACCAAAGGGCTATGACTGCAATCTTTCATGACATGATCCATCATGAGATGGAAGATTATGTTGATGATCTAGTGGTGAAATCCAAGAAAAAAGAAGACCATCTCCGAAACCTTGAAGGTATTCAAGAGGTGCCAGAAATTCAAAATGAGGATGAATCCTCTCAAATGTGCTTTCGGGGTGACGGCCGGGAAGTTCCTCGGGTTTCTTGTACATAGGCATGGTATCGAGGCAGATGAAGACAAGGTCAAATCTATCAGAGCAATGCCTCCCCCGCATTCTCAGAAGGAGTTAAAGAAGTTCCTCGGGAAGGTGTCTTATATTCGGAGGTTTATCCCAGCACTTGCAGAGATCTCTGCCCCTTTCGGCTCATTGTTAAAAGAAGATGCCAAGTTCGAGTGGAACCAGGAGCACCAAAAGGCCTTCGAGAGAATCAAGGCGACCTTGACCTCGCCTCAGACCATGATAGCCCCACAGCCCAGGGTGCCTCTAATGTTGTACGTAACTTCAGCCCCCAAGTCCATAGGGGCATTATTGGTCCAAGATGTAGATAGAGTAGAACGCCCGGTGTATTACATCAGCCGGAAGATTCGAGGACCAGAAGTCCGATATACTCCGATAGAGAGACATTGCTTAGCTTTGGTATTCACTACCCAAAAGCTCAGACATTACTTCTTAGCACATCAGATTCAGATTGTTACTAGAAGTGATCCAATCCGATACCTCCTCAGCAAGCCTGCTCTAACCGGGAAGGTGGCAAGATGGTTGTTAGCACTGGGTGAATTCGAGATCACATGTGTAGCCCCTAAGGCGATCAAAAGCCAAGCCTTAGCTGACCTCCTTGCTCAATTTCCAAATGGTGACTATAAACCAGTGAATGAAGAATTAAGAGAAGAGGTGCATGCAGCTATGGCTTCTGAGGAAAGCTTTTGGACATTGAGCTTTGACGGAGCAGCAGCCGGAGGTAAAGGAGGAACCAGGATAGTCCTTACAATCAAAAGTGGGAAAAAGTTATATTTGTCTTATAAACTGGATTTCCATTGTTCGAATAATGAAGCCGAGTATGAGGCTCTTATTTTAGGCTTGATAGCAGTTGAGAAGCACAGTATCAAGAAGATTCGGATTCGGGGGGACTCAAAGTTGATAGTGAAGCAAGTTTCAGGATAGTTCGTCTTAAAGAAGCCTGCCTTGGCCACATATCGAACAACAGTCCAAAGTCTTCTTGACAAATTTCAGAAGGTTGAAATAGAGCATGTGCCTCATTCCGACAACAAGTTTTCAGATGCCCTCGCAACATTAGGGGCAAGAGTTGATATCCCAGAGGAGGAGGCGACAATTATTATCAAGAAAAGAACAGAGCCTTCAATAATACCCGAAGACAAAGACCTTCTGGAAAATTGGAAAGGAGAAGTCCTCGAACAACTCAGAAGCAAAGTTGGAAAACTGACTATGGCCAAGCTTGCCCAATTCATAATAATTCAAGGTGAACTTTACTTCCGAGGAGGTACCGGATTCCTAGCCCAGTGTGTTGGCCAACAAGAAGCAAGCTTCCGACTACAACAGATTCATGAAAAATTCTGCAGAGATGGGGATATCAGTCTATACAGAAGGATCCAAAAACATGGCTATGATGGTGCATGATGGCCACAACCCGAGCAGCTGGTGAAAGCTTTCCAAATGATCTTGCAACTCTAGGGGCAAATTTCAACATTGCGTAGAGGAAGTCTATCTATGACATTTACAATTTGTATTTACTGCATTGTCTAAGAATTTTCTATCTGTCTTTCTTACGTTATGAAGAAAGTTATTTCCTCTATATTATGTATCTCCATTAGAAGTTATTTTCTCTACATTGTATATCTTCATTGTGTTATGTTGCTTGAAACAGTTTTCAATTTTCTACTGCCCCTCGAAGAAGAAAGAGGAATAGTAGACTCAGTTACCAACCTGAAGAGACCTTTCTTGACGTAGTAGAAGTATACCCCCACTCGAACCTCCGAAGAGCAGCTATTGTTTCCATCAATGTAAGCTTTGAGAGTCTTTCTTATTGAAGCAAAGTGTGTGTTCCAGTATACCCCCATTCGGACCTCCGAAGAGCAACTATTGCTTCCATCAATGTAAGCTTTGAGGGTCTTTCTTATTGAAGTAGAGTGTGTGTTCCCACTCGAACTTCCGAAGAGCAACCCTCGCTCCCATCAGTGCGAGTCTCAAGGATCTTTCTTGCTGAAGTAGAGTGTGTGCTCCCACTCAAACTTTCGAAGAACAAACCTCTTTTCCATCAGTGCAAGCTTCGAGGATCTTTCTTGTTGAAGTAGAGTGGACTCCTACTCGAACTTCCGAAGGATAGCCCTTGCTTCCATTAGCTACCAAAGTAGAAGTGCACATCCACTCAGACTTCCGAGGGACAGCCTTGTTTCCGCTCGGACTTCTAAGGGAGAGCTTTGTTTTCGCTCGAACATCTGAAGGACAACCTTGCTTCTGCTTGGAGTTCTGAGAGACAATCTTTACTTCTATTGGTGCAAGCTTGTTAGACTCGGTTGCCTTAGAGGGATCTTTCTTGTCGAAGTAGGGTGTGTGCTACTATTCGGACTCCTGAGGGACAGCCTCGAACTTCTAAGCAACAGCCTTGCTTCTGCTCGGACTTTCGAGAGACAATCTTTACTTCTGGTGGCGCAAGCTTGGTAGACTCAGTTACCTTCCAGAGGAATCTTTCTTGCCAAAGTAGGGTGTGCGCTATTTTCGGACTCCCGAGGGACAGTCTTGCTTCCGTTTGGACTTCCGAGGGACAACTCTTTCTCTCATTAGTGCGGGTCCGAAGAACAGCCCTTGCTTTCATCAATACGAGCTGCGAGGATCTTTCTTTTCAAAGTAGAGTGGACTCCTACTCGAACTCCCGAGGGATAGCCTTTGCTTCCATTAGCTGCCGAAATAGAAGTACGCATCCACTCGGACTTTCGAGGAACAGCCTTGTTTCCGCTCGAACTTCTGAGGGACAGCCTTGCTTCTGCTCGGACTTCTGAGAGACAATCTTTACTTCTATTGGTGCAAGCTTGGTAGACTCAGTTACCTTCCAGAGGGATCTTTCTTGCCGAAGTAGGGTATATGCTACTTTCGGACTCCTAAGGGACGGTTTTGCTCTCGTTTAGACTTCCGAAGGACAGACCTTGCTCTCATTAGTGAAGATTCTGAGGACCTCGGGGTCGTGGATTTCGCACAAGAAATTTATATGGCTGAAATAGTAAAACCGACAAATGAGATGAGCAATATTAATTTCATATCCTGATTCAGGCATTATCGGAATGGGACAACATCAACAAATAATAATGATCTATTTAAGTTATAACAATTCTATTCCTCCGAACAAGTTCATGAGAATGCAACAATCAAGGTTTTGTCCTTTCGGCCGGCTCCTCTCAAGCCGATATAAAGCAACAATGTTCAAACAAAATCTCGGTATCGGGCATCAACTATTTATTTTCCGAGCATCCACAAGTTAAACAAACAACAATATATCATCTTTATTATCCAACGAGGTATTTCATCATATCAACAAGTCCTACGATGAATTCTACATCAGGAGTTCGAGCATGATATCTAAGATTCTCGGGGTTGCAACAATCAATCATTCGATAACAAGATTTATATACAATATGAGGGGTTTATTTCCTCAGGTTTCATCGACAACAACAATAATTATTTTATTCGTCCCATGCAAGCAAAGATAGCAACAACACTCACTTGCAGTCCATGTTCTCTCTCAACATCAATAGCCTAGTGCAAGCATCAAATATTTTGTTTATGTCAGATTTATCAACACAAGGTCAAGCTCCAAAACATGAATTTCAGGATTACATTACTCATGCCAATCAAGATTCAATAGAACCTTCGGCTATCTCGAGTTCAAAATTGCTATACAACAATACTCACAAATCTCAAAGGCCCAAATCAAATTTCTAGTAAGGCTCGGAAATTCGGATTTTGTCAAAACAAGAGGTTTGAGAGTGGGGTTTGACAAAATACTTACAGACCTGAAGGCCACACCTGTGAGAGAAAGTATCCAAGGACAGAGCACCGGTATATTGTTCCTGAAATAAACAAACCAGTCATTTAATGTTGAAGATTATGGGTCTTATATATTGTACAGAGAAACGAAAATGGGTCTGGATGATTTTTTTGGTCGGCACTCAGCAGAAGCTTTGTTGGCCGTTGGTCTTGAGAAAATGCCCTGACCAAGAGTCTTGATTATTTAATTATTTAGCAGAAAGTTGGTCTTCAATAGGATACAAAAACAAGAATGAGCAGTGCTAGGCAAGACCACATACGTTGCGTTGAGTGGGCGAACGTTCGTGGTCGGCGTCGAACAAGTCAAGACCGGAGGCAACAATGGTGTCGGAAAGAAGGTGGCGACCATACACGTCGCGTTGAGTGGGCAACGTGTGGTCGGTGCTGGAATAGTTGAAGCCGATGGCCAACTTGCAGCAGAGAGCAGCGTCGGAGAAAACTAAGGCTGAGATCAGTAGAGCCAGCGCCAGGGGCAGCCAAAACAGGGCTACAGCAGTGAGTGTAGCTTGGACAAACAGTAAGTGAGAAGGGTGCTAGACGGACCAACGACGCGTTGAAAAGGCGACGTGGTCCACGTTGATTAATCACGGCCGAATCCAGTGAGTATACAAAAACTGAGATTCAAATTCCGAAAAAATAGCGCCGGGCTGTGAGACTAACGAGCTGGATGATGTTAGGCAAAACCACACATCGCGTTGAGTGGGCGACGTGTGGTTCGCGTTGAACAGCCGAAGACGAAGGCAAAGCACTGGGCAACCAAAGATGAAGGCAAAGTTGTAGCAAAGAAAGGCGGACTTCAGCGGCTGTAGGAGCAAGACCAAGGTCTAGCGTGCCTGAATGTCTGAGCTCACTAGGCCGAAGTGGAGCACTGATGGCGAGCAACAGCTTAGAGCACACGTCTATGGTAGTCGTGATGCTGAAACAGGATAGTGGCAATAATAAACAGTAGTAGCTCTAGTTTGTTCACGAAGAAGAATAGCTGTATTGGTCTTATTCAAGAGGAGCCAAAGCTAAAAAAAAAAAATATTGAGGTTTCCCAAGAGTTTACCCACAGATCTGAGGTGCCAATGGATAAGGTGTAAAGCTGAAAGAAGCAAGAAGCATCAAACGGCGGAGGCCATAAGTCGAGGCAGGGCAGAGACGGCGCAAGCCGCGTGCACGAGCAGTGGACGAGCGAGGCCGGGACCAGCGATGATGCACACGACGCGTTGAAAGGGCGACGTGTGTGGTTGGCACTAGAGCAAGCAGTGGCGTCGGTGCTGGTTAGTTGAGGAAGGTTTGTGGCCGCCGACGGTGTGCAAGGTAGCGTGGGTCTTCGGTAACGACGACGGCGCTCGGAGTGGCAGCAAGCTAGGTTGGTCTTGTGAGCAACCAACAGTAGCTTTTGGTGTAGCAGCTTCGGAGCTTCGTTGGAAAAGAAGGTTTGTTTTGTTGAAGAAGAAAGGAGCTGGGTTGGTGCCTGCAGAAAGAGAGACACCTGGAACAGCTATGAGCAAAGAAAATGGGTGAGATTTAGGGTTTTACACCTGTCCTTAAATAGAAAAAAAGAGGAGGCGTGATGCTAGAATATTCTTGGAATGTACTATTTATATATATACATATATCTATATGTGGATGGATCCGCTGGGTTGCCTAACCAGAAAAGGAAAGGTGTGGTTTGGGGTAGCCTCTCAAAAACTTTTTTTCTCTCTCTCTATAACGGTTTGCTAAGATTTGTTTGGTTGCCATAAAATGGGTTCACGTTGCTAGAGACAGAACATGTTTTGGGTGTGTGAAAAAAAATAGCACCTAGAGTGAATTTACAAAAAGCTGAAGGGTTATTGAATCTTCTAGAAAGAAAAAAAAAAAGAAGGGGAGTTATTTATTTATTTATTTATTTTAATGTTACTTGTCGATTTTATCTGTAAATTACGGTGAATTTTCAACTTTATCTTTAGACTCTATCAAGACCAAATATTCCCGAAGACGTAATGCGGAGCATGGCAGACAAGGTGAAACTATGCATATCCGAGAAAATTACAATTTCTCATACACGCAAGGGGCAAATGTAAGAGGGGCTAATTTGAGCCCACTAAATTATTTAGGCCCAATAGCCCAAGATTAGTGGGCCCGAATTTATCGCAAGTCCAAGAATCGGTGGGCCTAGATTTATCGCCTTTAAACAGGCTGAATCGCTCTAAACCTCGAAAGGGTTCGGATCCACGAACCTAGAGACTTACTCGGGCTCGGACTCGAAAAATTATTGAGCAAGCCTAGAGATCCGAGGCACTCGGACTCAAAAGGGTTCGGATCCACGAACCTAGAGGTCCGAAGCACTTGGCTTCGAACGGATTCAAATGCAATCTAGAAGTCGCTCCGTTAATGAGTCCCAGAACACTTGCGGGCTCGGAGCTTTCCGGGTCTACGTACCAGAACCATGGGCGTCATGGAGTCCGAACAAAGGACCCGATCCCGAGGACGGTGAGTGGAGATAAATTCACTCTTCGGTTAAACTAGCCTATACCCGGGTCGAGGTGGCACGATCTAGGGGGTCCTTGAGACTCGGCAATATTTGCGGCAGGGCGTTCTCTT